AAGTCCAGAATTTCGATGTAAGTGTTTCGTTCTATTTGCTACTTTCTTCAAGTCTTTTTTATCTCATCCTGAAGGGATCTCAGATTTGTTTTAGCTTTTTCAAAATGAAGTAACTGCTTGTAGCACTTATTGCAGACGAACGGTCGCTGGATGAAAACACATTCAAATCTGTTTGCACAGCGCATTCAGTTAAGTGTGCAATATCCACTGAACTCTTACCAAACACTCTTATTCTCGCCTGCGGGATTAATGGAAAACTGCACAGAAAACAGTTCTTTCCGACAATTTTTTTTGGAGTTTCTGGAGCAAGGTTTTGAGATCTGTTTTCCATGAGTAATAAGAAATGCGAGAAAATTAAACCCCCTCTTGGGAGTTGTTCTATCACAGCTTATGATTAGCTTTCTATTAAACAATAACCAAGCGCCAATTGGCTCTTCGGTGATCTCTATGTGCTCCCCGTCTGATCTGTTTGAACAAAGGGAAATGAATGTGCCGTTCGTTTCAGTAGACGTTCGTGGGGGAGGAAGATTACGTGACGAGCCCAAAGAACGTCTGCATAGGAGGCTAGGTCACCCTTAGCCTCACTCCTATTCAAAGGCTTGGCCACCAAGCCCACAACTGTAAAAGGGACTATTGAAGCCTGAATGCCATATTTTCCTGTAATTTATAGTAACTTTAAAAACCTTCATTGAAGGGCTTATAATTATAAGGAGTTGTCTCATCTCAGTCTCTGACTTTTTAAACATTAGTCTGCCTCATGAGAATCTGAGATTTTACCATTTGCCACCCCATATATGCAAAAGATAAGTGATAATAAATGCTGCAAATGCATATGATTTAATTTTTTTCAGAGGTGTCAACACCTTTTCACCAGAAGGTCGTCTCTTTCAAGTGGAATATGCAATAGAAGCCATAAAAGTAAGTCTTACACCCCAACATCAGTAGATATCAGTATGGTTATTCTCTATACTGTACACTATATGTTTCTTGAGGTTCTGACAAGCAGAATTGGTTTAACAATCAAGAGCTTCTTTAGTGATCCTTTCCTTTATTCTCCTGACCTTAATGTGTGATTCAGGGGTGATATTGTAAGGAGAAATTAGTTGCTAGTCACTCTTGCGGTCAGAGGGTTAATTTAGTCAGTCTGTCTGTCTGTCAACTTCTCTGTTTGTCTCTCTGACAAACTCAATGACTGTACAGTACACTGTTTGTCTACAAGCCAATCAGCTGGTCATTCAAAATTTCTCTACTTTGTTAGTCAATCGGTCGGTAGGAAGCTTAAAGCTTTTCTTTTTGAATGTACAGCTTGGATCAACAGCTATTGGCATACAGACATCGGAGGGTGTTGTGCTGGCTGTGGAAAAACGGATCACCTCTCCTCTTATGGAACCAACCAGTGTGGAAAAAATTGTGGAAATTGACAGTCACATAGGTAATTTACAATTATATCTACACTCTCTGGTGCTAAAGTCAAATCAAGTGCACATGCATGAATGGTACTTAACAACTCTAGTTTCTGTTAGAAGCATTATATATATTGTTCTCTCTTTAATCCTGTATGTTACCAGTGCTTTCAATAAGACCCGGCACCTGCAGGAGCGCTGGCAGGTATTCTGTTGTGAGTCGCCAGGTAAATTTCACCATGCTCAAGTCACAGTCACCACGCTCAAGTCGTACTCAAATTGCTCTCTGGCGGGTGCTGTACCGAGGTAGCCTATTTCAAATCTTATAGAAAGCACTGTGGTACTGAAATATGAATGTCAATCTATTATTCCAAATACCCCACTCAGCCAGACAGATTTTTTCACCTGAAAGACAAAATCCAGAAAGGTCCTTACAGCCCTCTGCACGACTTGCTATGTTCTAACTGCAAACTGCAAACCTTGTAGCTCATGTAGGAAGGAATGTTTAAATTACTTTTTGTTAAGATATGTTTTTTGACTTACTTTGCTACAGTACTGCTTAAAATTAAGTTGACAGTCCCTTGAACCTTGATCCTCAATTCTTGATCCTTGATAACTTTGAGGATTGAGGCTTGAGTTGAGTCTTGAGGAGTTTTCACTCGATTAATTTTTGACACGATTTGAAGTTACCTTTTGTCTAATTCGTGGAATGAAATCCATATAGTGAGCATTGTTGCTGATGGGGCAAATCTTCGCTCAAAGTATTTTTCTTTATTGTGCATACAGATATATAATTATTGCCTTTCTTTCTTCAGTCTTAATTCGAACAAATGTTTTGAATTAAGGTTACTGATAAAGTCTTTTTATATTAAGGTTGTGCTATGAGTGGTCTAATTGCCGACTCTAGAACAATGGTGGATAAAGCGAGAGTGGAAGCACAGGTAAACTGAGTCATTTGGAGGAAATTGTTGGTTATAGAAAGACGTAAAATTTGAGATGGACGATATATGCAACCAAGACTTTACTTTATAATGATAACAATTATATATTATTTGGGTAAATTCTTTTTGGGACAGGGGTTTCAAATTATTAGAGAAACACTCTTCAAAGAGTGATGTGATGGTGCACAATAATGATCAGATTGCAAGTTACCAAAAGAAGGTCTATGTTCATTTTAATGTGGGTGGTAGGCATCCTTGTCTCAAGTTGAAAGAGGGCATGTTTCAATGATATTCTCCTGAAGATTAGTATCATGTTAACTCTGCCTGCTTGGTGTACAGTACTTGTTGCTCATCTGGAAAGCTGGTTCCAACAGGGTCATTGCAAAGGGATGGCTATTGAATTGTCAAGTTACAGAACTAAAGCATATCCTTTGATTGTTGAGGGCAGATAGATTTCTCTTATGTATGATTTACTTTGTGTGTTCACTTGTGTTCTAGGAAAAGTCCCTTTTAATAATTTTTCTAATTATTATGTGTGAATGTTATTTTTTATCATCATAATTGTAGAATCACTGGTTCACATACAATGAAAAGATGAGTGTGGAGAGTGTCACACAAGCTGTATCAAACCTTGCGCTTGAGTTTGGAGATGATGATGCAAGAGAAGGAGCCATGGTGAGGAAGTCTACCCACCTTATTTAGCCTTTTAACTCCTGAGTGACCAAGACAGAATTTCTCTTTACAATATCAAGACAATATCAAGCAGACAAGTAAAGAAAAATATCAATTTGGGAATTATTGGTTGATCCAATACCAAATTCTCTAAACTAACATCATAAAATTCATGTTAGACAGTAAGGAGGATTTCTAATCAGATCTTGGGAGTAAAAGGGTTAAAAGCAACTTTATAAAGTGCCTTTATGAGTGAATCAAGCTGATGTGGATGAGATCTTGCATTGAACCCAACCAAATTTTTTACGGGAAATTGTTGGTTGGCTTGTAATTATTTTGTGCAAGACAGTGAGTGCTTCAGTCTGTAGCTAGTAATTCCAGCAGCAAAGCAGTGACTGTTTTAGGCACCCTGTATACCAACTCAGCTCATGGTGGATCAAAGGAAAGGGAAGGATGATGATGACCAGTGTGTGATTCTGTTTACTCGTGAACTTTCCAGTAAGAAAGTAAGGAAAATTTCTGTTTTGCAGGATAAAGACAAAGTTTGCAGGCACTGTCTTGAATTACCTTGACTCAGAGAAATGAAAGACTCTGCTCAAACAACACCTTGCTATGCCTGTCTATATTATGAACTTTCCTAAATTTAATTTGACTTGCCAGGGCTCAACACTAACTTTTCAACGTATTTGCCAAGTGACTAGTGACAGCTTAGATGTTACAACAATTTCAGTTTGTTGACTAGCCAAAGTGGCTGGTGGAAATTGAAAACCACCAGCTAAAACTGAATTTCTACTAGTCTGTGGCTAGTTGGCTGCTGTTAGTGTCTAGCCTTGCTTGCGCTTAAAGCAAAATTAATTATTTTCTTTCTTCAGAGTCGTCCATTTGGTGTAGCTTTGCTATTTGGGGGAGTAGATGCCAAAGGTCCTCAACTGTAAGAGTTTTAACCCATTACAACATAACATTAGCATGTTCTCTATACTGTTCTCCATAAATTTCCTTTAATTGTACTTTTAAGAAGAATTTGTCCAACAATCAAGAACTTAAGGAGTTTGTGATAATTTCTGTAATTCTCATAACCTTATTTAGGGTTGATTCTGTTGGGAGAAATCAGATTCTTGTCACTTGGAGGGTTTAAAGGATTATTAATGAAACAAAAAATGATTCTGTCATTTCCTAAATCGTCAACAACTGGTTAATTTGTCAGGTCACACTCCTACTTAATTTCCCTGCTTGTACAAATATTATTGACTGCTACTGAATATGAAAAGGAAAATACTGAGTTTAACTCGATTCAGTACATACTCAGTGGTGCAGCAATGTGATTACTAATGGAGTCAGGCAACAAATTCCACCCAAAAGTATTCCTTGGTCAGTAACTGAAGAAGTTAATCCTTAAAAGATAATTTTCTTTGTACTGCTCTCTGTACCTTCTATCAGTTGTGTGACGTTACTCCACAGACTTGTCAAATTTAAAAAATAATCACAACCAACCACTATTAAGAACAAAGGCTGATAGTTTCGAAAGAAACTGTTTGGGGCTGCGTCGGTGGGAGTAATGAAATAATTTGGATATATCAACAAAGTTGAAATGGTAAATTGGCCACCGTAACGATTACAAAAGCTGACGTTTTGAGCGTTAGCCCTTCGTCGAAGCGAAGGGCTAACGCTCGACGAAGGGCTAACGCTTGAAACGTCAGCTTTTATAATCGTTACGGTGGCCAATTTACCATTTCAACTTTGTTGATATATCCATTATTAAGAACTATGTCTTCTTTTTCCTTTTCTATTTAGTTATCACTTGGACCCCTCTGGTACATTTTTCCAATATGATGCAAAAGCCATAGGTACAAACAAAATAAAAGTTAGAGATATTTCAATGATATTTTATTCCAAATGGAATTATACACATATTGTGTTTGGTCCTTACTTATGGTCTATTGGATGACAAATACATAGATGAGGTCACCATCAAGAAATTGTTGGGTTTTTATCATGTTAAGCAAATAGATTGCATGTTGCAGTTGGTCCATTCAGTATTATGATAAGTGGGATTTACACACATTTTGATTGGTTTGGACTTCTAATCTGTTGGAGGACAGATCATGCAATAAATAAATATAAGAAAATTAATTTAGCAATGGACATTCCACTGGGTGGTTCTTCTTGTCCACTGTTTTCAGATCAAATTGGAATTTGGAATGTTGGTTTTTGCAGAGGGAGGAAAACCAGCATAGATCATGTCACCATTAGAGCCAACCTCATTCCCAGGGTCTCTCATTTTCCCATCCCCTGAAGTGAGAGAGAAGGGAATGGGAAGATGAGAGACCCTGGGTACAAGGTTGCATTAGAACATTTTGCTACATAACACGAATGGATTCTATGTTTCTGTGGGTTTGTTCAATAACAGATCACACAAGACGTCAAAATATGGTAAGAACATTCAGTGACTGACACACTTGGCCCTCATGTGCCACTTTTGTGTTTGTACCACATTTTGATTTCATCTGTGATGTATTACTACTAAACAGATGCATAGCAGTATGGAATATATCTACTAAATCTATCTCGCACTGGCTAGGAGTGACTCAGAGACAATCACATCAATTAGTGTTGCCAGATTTTGTTAGTTTTTCCTAATCTGGGTTATTAAATTGCAGGTTCGGGATCAGAAGGTGCACAACAAGCTCTAGAAGAGGTTTATCACAAGGTAAAAGAATTTAAGGTGTCTCGACAGGCTGTAAAGTCTTTGATTATAACAGTGGCTGTTATCAAACATATTTGTTGATGTACCACTGACTTTGCATAACTATCGGTAGTTTGTAGAAAAGAAAATTTTAAAATTGTCTGGTTTACTATGCTCAGTGTTTTATGTTTCTAATTTGATCTGCACTTAATTTCCTTGTAGTCCATGACACTGAGAGAAGCTTGTAAATCTGCTCTTACAATACTCAAACAAGTTATGGAGGAAAAACTCAATGCTACAAATGTAGAGGTTAGATATTTTGATGTTGTAAGGTGGTAACTTTACTTCGTGGGAAGGAGAAATAAATGGATGATTGATTGATTGTTAGATAATGTTTCTAATTTCAAGAACAAATGAATGAATAAACAGATAAACCCCAGAAGTAATTAACATGGAACTTCTTCCCATGATATCCATACATTATTCATCAAACAGGTAATGAGAATACTCAAACTTATCAATAGAAGTTGGTATCTTGATCTAACACCAAATTCTCATAACTACTGTAAAAGCCCGCGTTTAAGCTGCACTTTTTTTTCCAAAAATCGTCACTAGAAATTGAGGGTGCCGCTTATCTGCAGGAACATTTGAAAAGGTGTTGGGAATGTCTATTCTCGTATGTGATCTAATGCCTGGTTACTAAGCTTCAAATTTTCTGCTCACATACTAGTTGTAATGCAAAAATCTATGGAAAAACTATGTTGAATGAAGAAATTCCTGTCAGAAAATACCAGAAAAAGACCAATCATTTGTCAAAGTTGGTAGAAATGATGTTCATTATATTAGGGCTAAAATTGTGGTTAAAACTTTGAAGTATTTTCGGTTGCGATGTTAATATCGAGTTTACGTTTAATGAACAGTGGATGAAGCAGACTTCTCAAGACTCGACTTTGGATTTCTTTTGATTTCTTTCCAAAATTTGAGCTGCTAAATTTAGGGTGCAGCTTATCTCTGGGCTTTTACGGTATTTCACAAGGAATTGTGTAGCAGCTAGAGGGAAGAAGTAAAAATAAGATCTGGAGATTCAAAGGGTTAGTGGATGAATGATTGGATGGGTGAAAAAAAAAATGAATGCATGGAAGAATTAATTGGCTGGTGGACTGACTGATTTACTTTCCAATTAAAATAGCTTTACAAGGCCATTATGGTGATTAGACAGGTACAACTAAGACTGATTTCAATTGTTGTTTACAGCTTGGAACTTCAACACCAGACAAAAACTTCCGGATGTTTACAAAGGAAGAGATTGAAACACTTGTACAAGAAATAAAATAACTACAACTTCAAGCCAATTTTAAAAAAAAAATTACTTTGTTTAGGTCACCCAGTACTCTCTAGCACTTAGTGTTTGTTCGTAATAAAAGTCAAGTGGTGTTAAGTGAACTTGTCTGAGTTGTTGTTCCAAATTGGGGGAAAGGAATAGAACCTCGAACTTCTCAAGTGGACAGTATGTGAATGTTGCATATTGTCACATGCAAGCAGGAAGTCAGATGCGTAAATGCATAGAATTATGTTTAACAAAATAGACATATTTGCACATTTACAAATTAAAGCTCTTTGTAGGAAGCTGTGTTGCCTTTGGTTAGAGGGAGCACTTTTGTGGGTGTTTTTCTTATTTGCATATCTGCCAAGCATTACCCATGCTGCCTTAGTCCATATGTGTAACAAAGGAATGAGTTTGCAAATTTGTTTTTTATACATTTTGGGGCACTTCGAGAGTTCTAGAGGGATATTTAGAACCAGAAAAATGGCTTGAAACCATAGTATAAACTTCTAAAGCCTTGCACAAAGGTTTTGACAGTATTTTGTAATTTTTAGCAAATCGATGAGAGAACTTCTCCTCTCAAGTGGTAAGCAGTTGTGTAAATCTATTGCACATACTGCTGAGTAGAGTATAGAGCAGACAACAACCCTTTATGCCCTAACCTCAGAATCTATATTCTCAATATTGTTCTCTATACATTCCCTAGGGTGCTAACAAGGAGAATTTACTTTACCATCAGGAGCTTCTTTAGTTGGTGATCATTTCCTTTATTCTCCTGACCTTAATGTGTGATGCAGGAGTGATATTGTAAGGAGAAATTAGATGCTGATCGCTCTTAGGGGTTTAAAGATTAACTTGAAGCTGTTATCAAAATAATGCTCCTTTCTTGTAAGATGGTATTTTATTTCTCATTTGACAGTTAAACCTTTTTTTTTTTCATTCTTCCATTTTGCACATTTTTTTCTGCCTTGAACATTTACATCCTTATAGATAGTGTTTAAAAGCTTTAAAATGAAAGTTGTAAGATATACGTACTTGAGAAAATAACTCTTTAACCAGAGAAAGCTTTTTATGTAAATATGAATCTAAACCCTGGTTTTCATCTGTTTTTGAAAGGTATATCAAGTAAAACCATAATACTTTGCTTTACTTCCACTATCTAACACTACTATTAACAATTCTATAATACCCACTAACTAGGATATATGGTGTTGTTTTAATTTAAAAGATTCCTCATGAAATATCTAATTTGGATTCCCTTTGTCTCAGATCAGTCCCCATAATCTTAGGGAAAAACTATTAATTTGTTTAAAAAATTTGAACAACCAGATAGACACTGTAGAAATATATAATACTGTTAAGAAGCTCATTATTTCATACACATTTACTGGAAAAAATAATTAATATATAACAGTAACATTTGTTCTACTTAATTGTTCACCTTCACCCCATCAACAACTTTAGTTTCACCATGTTTGATGGTATGGAACTCTGTCTGAGGAATACCTTTCATGTCTAATGTTTCAATTAACTTTTTTGGTGGGTCCAGATAATGCTACAAGAGGAACGAAAAAAAAAAAAAAAAAAGATGTACAATCAAATAGCTGGCAAAACATGGAAGAAGTAGTGTGACAACCAGCAGTCAGTGAACTGCACTGGTTGAGTCATTCACTTAATAAAAAAGATGAGGGTGTGAGTCTGTTTCCTCAAAAACTTCCTGGGTAAAGACAAAGTCTGCACTTGAAGGTCCATTCCTCCCTGCCCAGTATTTCATCATGTCCAACTTCATTTCAACAACAGTTTGCAGGTATCGATTTACAGATGTGAGTGGAAAGAGGCACTGTGAGACCCTGGATCACATAATTTAAGACTTTGACCCAGCTTATACTCAAACTAGTACTACTTGATGCTGTGTTCAACAAACTAATCAATCAGTCACCAAATTTTCAGTGGCAGGATGTCCATGCAAATCAACAAAACTTCATGTATTTCCTCAAATAAATGCACAGGCAATTATTTAAAAATTTCAACCAAAAGAGAGGGGGGGGGGTTGCTGACTGGAAGGAGGATGCTTAATCAAGGGAGGGGGGGCATCTATTTAGAAACTATTAACCTGTACTGATTCAGCTGTGGTTGAAGCTTAAAAAGTCACATGCAAAGTAGTAACAAAAACAGGTTTTCTTGTATAATAATAATACTAATAATAATAATAATAATAAAAAAAATAATAATAATAATAGTAATAATAAATTATCAAGTTATAGTGCACCTTTTAACATGTAATGATCAAAGGTGCATTACACTAAGTCTTGTAACCCACCCATCCCACCCCAGGGGAGGATATCCATCATCCAGTGATCTCATGTGCAACAGTATCCATACTGTTAATGAAAGAGAGGGAGAGGGGGGTGCTGGTTTGATATATTGGCCCAGGAGGTGGGCGCTTACTTGAGGTGGAACACTTATTAAGAGCATGGGTGCTTTTTCAGGTAAGGAAATATGGTATATATGTGTTGATTAATTCCAAACCACAAACTGAAACAGTAAGAAATTATAACAGTTAACTTATATTAAGGTTCACTCACCTCATATGATAAATTAAATGTACCCCAATGAATTCCAATAGAAGAGTTAGCTTTGACATCTTGGTGAATCTGTACAGCTTCCTGTGGGTTAACATGCTGGAAAGACATCAATCCCCTGTTAAACAACAAAAGAAGAATCTGTGCTGTGAGCATTTACCAACCCCCAAAGGTATCTGCACACGTCATTTCTATCATGTATCCCTCCATAACACCATCATTGTGCTGGAGTGAAAGAAAATCTCACTGATTCAATTCTCAGCACAATACGGGTTTCCAGTGAGTCCTTACTAACTCCTAGTGGTTTTATCCCTGATGAGGTGTTCTATGACCAAAGAATAGATCTCACCATGGTAATATAGTCTGATGACAGTGTCCATTTTTTCCCCTTTAGGTGGTTTTACACCATACCTTGGTTCATATGCTCCAATAGGGATAGCTGCCAGATCAAATGGACCATATTGCTTGCCTATTTGTTTAAAGATGTGACAGTAACCAGAGTCACCAGCAAAGAAAAATCTGTGTTGTTGACCAATAATTGACCAACTCCCCCAAAGAACCTCATTTGTATCATTTATTCCTCTGCGACACCAGTGTTGTGCTGGAGTAAAAGCGAACTTTACTGCCTTTTTATCTTCAGTTAATGTTGGGTGAGACCGTTCATCCCACCATTCTAGTTCAAAAACATTTTTACATCCACAATTTTTCATCCATTGGTGAAGTCCCATAGGCACGTACCAGTAGAGTTTACTGCCAAACCTCTTGTTAAGTTCACAAACTGAGTTGTAATCTAGGTGATCATAGTGATTATGGCTAATACACACAGCATCGATTTCAGGAAGTTCATCTACAGTACAAGGAACAGGACGATATCTTTTGACTCCAAATCCTTGCACAGCACCACAGTAATCGCTAAATACAGGATCTGTAATGATGGTGAGCCCTTCCATTTGGACTAAAACAGTTGCATGACCGATCCAAGTAAGCTGAATGTTATTGAATGCAGGAGATTTTAATCTTGCCTTGTCGGGTTTGAGAACTGGGAGAGTCCTGTCCAGTTTCTAGATAATGATAAAAATCAGTAACTTTCGTTAAACCAACAGAAAATCCATTCTGTTCAATCTTAAGCCTGTTGAGTGATCAGCATCAAACTTATCCTAATGCAACATTATCACAAGTAAAGGTCTGTAATCGAAGAATGTTCACAAGTCATTGAACTGTGATGAGCCATGTACATGTATCACTGCAAGGTCGAAAATCTCTGCATTATTAGTTGACAAAAAAAAAAATGCAGAGGAAATGATCATCTGCCCCATACTACAATAATATTGTAAAACAAAGACATAGTCCCAAAGGCAATCTGTCATTTTGACCATTGTTTTCAATATCCAAGAGCTGTATGTGTAATGAAGTATAGGCCTGTACAGAAACCTTAGCCTCGACTGTCATGAAAAGCAATATGTTAAAAAACAGGTTTATCTTTGCTTAAGTTTCAAAATTTAACATTTCAACATAATGATACTTAACATGTAACAAACCTTATCATCAAACTGGAAAAAATCTTTCAGTCCTCCGCCTGGTACACTGCTATTATTGGGTGACCCTAAAAACCATCGAGCAGCAACAAGCATCGAGGGCAATTGTGCAGACCCTCTCCATGGAAGAACAAATCTTCCATTCACTTTCTTGGCTCTAGGAAACTTTTTGCTATCATAGAAATGCTCTGCATCTTCTCTTTCTGTTGATGTTGCTGTGGTCTGTTGTCTGGAAAATCAAGTTGTTGTTAGACTAACTTGTTACAGGGCTGCGACCTGGAAAAGCTTGGATGACACAGGACAATCATCGACATGGACAATTTGTTAACTGCATCCCATGTGCTCTCTGGATCGGAGGCTCCAAAGAATTGGGCTTCCTAGATTTCTGAGACACAATACTCACAGATCGGAATGCATACACAAGTAACTGCCTTTGCCTTGCCGGCTTTCGTCACTGTTGCAAAGGATCAACAGGTTGTCTCATGTCAAACAAGTTTATCAAAAAAAATACGAACAATTTAAATACAGGTGTTTGTACGCTACCTCCCTTGGTGAGAGATTTCCCCAGCGCTCTTGATAACGGTAGAGCGAATCAAATCTGTATTGTGACGGTGTAAGAAACGTCTTCTAATGAGCCTCCGCAGCATCCTATCGTAACGTCAGCCGATTCAATTTATGAAATGAAGCTTCGTAAATTTGCTCTCTCCGTCTGCCATCTTGAAAGTGGTCCCTCAAAGGGCCTGGAATCGAAAAATTTAACACAGGCGCGTTCCCAGATTCCAAACGGTAAAAACGCGGCTGCCGCGAGAGAGGAGAAAGGGATACTTTTGAAATGGTCGAGTCCAGGTTAAAATTCGATGCGTCACTGGCTTCCCCCCTGGGGCCCACCCCAGAGGACCTTGGGGATTTGTTCAAATGCCCATTCGAATATCCTCAAATCCCCCTGGGTATGGGACATAGGGACTCTGACAAATCCCTTCCCTGCTGGGTGCAATACTAAGGACCAATGTTCCTCAGTTACGCACAAATGTACGAACCAGCTATCTGCTTTGCTTAGGCCCCTTTGCTCATGAGAAAAAAAACTATAGCTTGCTCATTTTCATTAGGTTTGGCATGAGTGAAATTCGACGTTCAAAACGGGCCTTAGACCCTCCTTTTTAAAAAGTTTGTTTTATTTCAGCGCTGTTTACTCCACTTGACCAAATAGTTGCATGTATTGCATAAACCTTTCTAAACTTTCTTAAAAGGTTTTGGGGAAATGGTCTATAGAGTATACCGCTGACCAGCAAATCCTCAGGGTCTGCCCCCTGGGGTGCAACCTCTTTGAACAAATGTGATAATTTCCACCACACCCTTTGGCAACACATATCTGACAATCTTGACAAATGCTCCTGGGTTCCCATGGGTGCCCAAGGGGGTGGGTCCCAGGGGCAAGCCATTGATTGATGTTTCATTATCTTCAGTGCTAGCATTTAAAGCACAATTTAATTTATCTTTTTGTGATCTCAATAAAAAAAAAATGCATACATCAATCTACAGAGCTGGAGTGAGTAAGACACTTAAATTAATAAATTTCACCTCACATTACAGGGCTAAATAAATATAAAATACATTTAATTTAGTATATAAAATTTAAGGAAAAAATATCTTATTCAAAACTTTCAACCAATATAAATACCTGATGAAGAATTGTTTCATTTTGAATGCAAAAATGTTGTCTCTCTTTCCAGGTTATCTAACATAATTATAAAACCGTTCTAACAACTGATTTCAAACAATTAGAATTTGTGATAGTAAATAAGCTCTTAAAAAGGAAATCAAAACTTTTTCAAATTCTCAAATATTTGTTTTGTCTCAAATAATATTTTTCCTACACTATGCACAAAGCTTAACCCTCAATAAATCTACAACAGTCAACCTTTAAACAGATGCAAAATAATTTACAATTTTTTAAACTTGACTTTTCACAATAAAGAGAGATATCTATGACATATTATTATTATTATTATTATCATTATTAGGAGCATTTTAGCATTGGTTTTCACTTAGTCTGGGTTTTGCCATACAGACCCTTTCCATGGAAACAGCCATAAACCATGTACTTTTGTTATCAAGAAGCCAGCAAATTAAAATTAAACAAGTTTGGTTGGAGTGCCATACAATAAACTGCTCAATTACCTCACTTGATTGAGCTGTACAGGGGAATAATGACCCTTTTGCATTTTCGTATGGACATCATTGCATTTATTGGTCCATACTGTCATGATCTCAGGGAAATCTTCCCCAAAAACTTTATTTTTTTCACCCCAAAATATACAAGAAAGAAAGATTTATAATAATAGTAAAGACAATGATAGGGGCGCTGGCTGCCTGAAATAACCTAAGAGTTAAAAATGAAAGGAAGCCAGTTAAAAGAAAAGATGTTTAAATGTTTAGGTCAGGGACACAAAAACAAAGAAACACAGAAACGCACACAAAGATAAACTACCAGTATATTAAAGAGACTAAAATTCCTACATTGCAAAACAGTATTATTTCTATTTTAAAGTTACATAGACAATACAGATGTCTAGTAACCTTTGATAAATTGCTGCTTCACTTTCTTTTTAAACAAAGACAATGAAGATAATTTTATATCTTCATCAATGTAATTCCCAGTATACTAGCCCTCGCACTTGATAAGTAAGAATTATTATTTTTTTGGTAAACATAGCTCATATTTTTAATGTGAGGATTCAAAGACAACAGCACTGCGTCTTTCTTGAGCCCTTTTTGTATCTTCACTAGTGATAACTTTGGTCTCTCCATGTTTTATGGTGTGAAATTCTGTTTGTGGAATTCCTTTGCTGTCCAGTGTCTCACTTAGTTCTTTTGGTGGGGCAAGATAATGCTGCAAAAACAAAGAAATAAAATTAATGTGGTCATGCATTGAAATTTCAATTCTGTTAATCTCCTCCTATGATACTTGTCATCAACAAACCATCATTGCTGGTACAGCCTAAATGATAATAAATAAATAATAATAACTTAGCAATGGACATTCCACTGGGTGGCTCTTCTTGTCTACTGTTTCCAGATCGAATTGGAATTTGGAATGTTGGTTTTTGCGGAGGAGGAAAACCGGAGGACCCGGAGAAAAACCCTCGGAGCGAGGACGAGAACCAACAACAAACTTAACCCACATGTGACGCCATGTCCGGGAATCAAACCCGGGCCACAGTGCTGGGAGGCAAGTGCTGTCACCACTGCGCCATCCCTGCTCCCCATTCTGCCTATTCTTTACAATAGCAAGAAAAAGCCAAAATTTGTCAGATAAAGATCGGAGACATGCGCAATCGATTTCGTTTTTTATATCCAGGGCGCTTGTGATGACGTCACATAAAATACATGTGGAAATATCAATTGATTTCAAGCAATAGCTGTGTACAGCTGTCCTGCTCTGCAAGAAATTGAGGATACAATAAACAACACACTGGAAATACATCTACTAATTTAAAAAGTTTCCCCAGTCTCTTAAACCGAGTTCTGGCATTTGTTACGTTCTTTTCTTAACTCAAGCAAAAAATTTTGGGGCTCTGTTGTTGTTTTACAAAAGCCCTTTAAAACTAAACTGGTTGGAAAAAATCGTAATTCTCTTTTAAAAAGCCACACCAACCCCTATTATACCATTTATTTCAAATTGTACTATCAGTTTCACATTGAAACTTCTAGTTTTATGTATCACCATCTCAAAGTAGTTAAGGGGTAAGGTGCCTATGGTGACATCTTCATTTGTGCATAGTGGGCCACTGACTGCATTTTACTAATTAGCTTATCTCAGTTTCTGCAACCCCAAGTAACTACAGGGCCTGTGCCCTTTTTCAGAAACAAACTTTCAAGGATTTTTCCACAACCGTCCAGGACTCAGACTGACTTTTGTAGGACATCCAAATTTCATTGTAGACCCTTTCATTCCCAAGATTTCAAAATCAGTTCTCCTTTCAGTCTACATTACATTTCTTAAGATATAAATTCTGAAAACTTTATTGCTTGGGTTTAGCAGATTTTTAGGACTTTCCGGTCCTGCAAAATGTCAAAATGAAATTCCAGGGCTTTCCAGGTTTTCCAGGACCTATAGGAACCCCATAATAAGGAGTGGTGCTCCTGAATCAGAATAGGATATGATCTATTATTAAAAACTGGATCATTGGATAATGCAATTCAAGACTTTTAGTGGCTTAGCCCTTATGGTATATGAGCCAATATACCATAATCTACAAATATGGTAAGCGTATGCATCGGCTTAAAATCAAATGGGAGCTAAAAAATCCGGTTTCTTCTTACCAAATAATAATTTCTTGGGGGAGTTTTTAATAAAACAATTATTCCACTCGCACTTGTTGGATGTGAGATGATTATAGCCAACTTGGCGCTATACGGAAGCCGAAAAGGGACAACCCAAAAATATTTTTCAAATCCCACAAAATATTTCAAATCGCAATATTTATTTTAAACTCACTGTTGAAAAGTTTGACAAATCCAAAGATATTTTGCAACTCCAAAAAATATTTAGAAATCAAAAAAA